AGACAGGAGCCTGGCTATTTCTGCATGGTTTCTTTTTAATGTCATCCATTGTCTCAGAGTCTAAGACAGAGAAAAATATATATGTTTAATTTTCTCTCTATATATACATACACACATAAATATATATAATATATATTTGGACAAATGAATGATTCATGTTCCATTTCCATGGTCAAATATGTACTTATAATAAAGACAAGATTTGATAGATTATTCAACAGCGTAACTACCCTATGGAGATTATATTGAGAACATGTATTTGTTGTTATTTCATACTGTCTGTTGATATAATCGCCTTCTAAGTGAAATCATTTAAAAAGGTTTGTAGTATAAGTACAGTTTCAAATTTTCACATAGTGTATATGTTTTATGTTATTCATGCAGTGATATTTTAAATTATAACATCTTTATTGAAAAAATGCAGTAGAGCATCAGGAATAACTCTCTGAACGGACAAACAGCCAAATGCTTAAAGCCATACAATTCCAAAGGTTTTGAAATCTTTTAGTAACTTACATATCAATATCGAACTTCTAATTTTCTCTACTCTCTATTAACAAATAAGTAGCCTAGTGACTCTCAGTTAAATAATGCAAGTCACTTACTTGCTTTTATTTTGTGTCATTCCTATTCTGACTGTCAGGCACGCACTACTAGGTGTTACTAAGGAGGAGTGAGTGTTATCGTGAGAATATCTAGCAGAAGATAAAGTTTTCTCCTAAGTTAGTGAAGATTATCATGTTTTTATTCTATAAGCACAGATTCAGAAGCAAGACACAGATATGTAACTTCCTCCGTTCACAGAAGTGGCTCTTTCATGAAGATGAGAATGATACATTTCAAAATTATCCCAGCATTTCTTTCATTAAGCTGCGAGCACTTAGACATTCACACAAATACTTTATCCCAGTTAATAATGTTAAGCTCTCAAAAGATGGTATCGTCTGAGTCTATTGAAAGAATAGAAAGTGTCATTTAGTAAAAAAAAAAAAAAAATAACAAAAATTGTTTAATAGAATTTTATTCACCCAGCTCTCTTTCAAATATAAAGAATGGTAATAGCTTTGACATTTTATCCTGCTTGTGAGCTAACAAATTAACTTGCTGCAGTTTCATAGATACTGGCAAAAGACCTGGGACACCTGGGTAAGAGAAAAAGGACTTTATTACTCAAGGAGCAGAGAAGGCAGCATGACCTTCATATTTGCATTGATTTCTCTTTCTCTTCAAGTCACATAAGGGTAATGCAGAGTGGCACAGGTAGATACTACACTCAGTGAGTTCATGTCACACACGAGGAACCTAGAGTTTAGGAAACTATCAATCATGTAAGGGGGCTGCTTGCAAACTTGTCCAACCTTTGCCCTTGAAGGAGACATTGTCTTTATTATACTGGTGAGGAAAGAAATCTATCCTCTGCTCCTAGGTCCAGCAGGGAGACAGTATCTCCAGCTTCTGAGGTTGTTTGCTGTACAAATACCAGTTAAAAGACAGGAACAAAAGCTGTCAGTGTCTCTTCAAGAGGCATGTAGCAACAACATGAAAACATTTCTCTAACCACCTACCCGTTCACTAGCATGGCCTATAATGAGTCTTAAAAAAGTTGGAGATTTTCATATCTGAACCATGATTAGGCTAATGTTCCCTTTTCTCTTCCTGAACCCAGATAATTAGAATACAGCAAGAACAAGAAGAGTAAATAATCTTTTATCAAATCCATAGATAACCCTAATCATCACTTTAGGACACAATAACTGTTTCTTATTTTCTAGCTGGGCACTAGATATAATAAATTATAAGAGCCTGGTTACTCAAGTTTTACTGTTTCAAAAATGAAAGTTTTATAAAATTAATATTAGTTGTTAGCATATTATTCAAACATTTTAATAAAATGTGTGGGTTGGTTTAATAAAATGATCTAATTAATTAAATAGTTTTTATTTCAAAAAGACAATTGAACAAATAACTACAGACTAACATTGTTTTAGATATTGGTGTATATTATACTTGAACACTAAGTAATAAAAGTCTGATTAGAATTAAAGTCTGTTTTATGGGACATGAATTACTATAGTACTGGATTCTTAGGGAATAAGTCCATAGTTTGTGGGCTTTTATTCCAAACCATGATGCAACCAGGACCAAAAATCACACTTCATAGACACTTACACTATCTGCCCCTTTATTTCTATTGATTAAATCATCCAAGATTGGCTCTATGTAAAACTAATGGTATCAAATACTAGGTAGGTCCATTAAGAGTGAGAATAAAATTGAATATTTTTTGAGAATTCACTTTTATCATAATTTCAGAAAATTTCCTGGAATGATTTTTATGCTTTCAATTTTACTTTTAAGGTATCTTGCATAAGCCAGAATAAAATTACCATCACACATGGGAGGCAGTCTGATTTTTCCATAAACCTGAAATTGTTCTGGTTAAATATGTCTAAAACACAATTTATGAGGAGATATCCAATGCACTGATGACACTGAAATGATATGAGGCAAACAAAAAAAAAAACTTTGTTATAACTTTTGAAATATAATTTTAAATTCTAACTAGTAAAAACAGAGAAAATTAACATAGTAAAAGGCTGCCATCTTCAGGGTTCTATAAATTTATTTTCCATAAGAAATGTATTCTACTCTGTGTTGAGTATATCATTTTCTGGTCATTGTCATGTTAAAAGTAAGCTAATATTTTAGATGCTAGTTACTATGTAAATATGAAGAAAGTATCTTATACCCATATTTTATTTTAAAAGTCTATGAATTATAAAAATTATTAATATAACCATAAAGAAATATACCTGCTCATTCCTACATCTTCAAGAAAAAACAAGGATATCTGTAAAGTGTTAAGTTGATTTGTAAGTTAAAGAAAAAATAGAATATTTGGCCGGGCACTGTGGCTCAGGCCTGTAATCCCAGCCCTTTGGGAGGCTGAGGTGGGTGGATCACTTGAGGCCTGGAGTTCGAGACCAGCCTGGCCAACATAGTGAAATGCTGTGTCTACTAAAAATACAAAAAATAGCCAGGCATGGTGGCACCCACCTGTAATCCCAGCTACTTGGGAGGTTGAGGCAGGAGAATCGCTTGAACCCAGGAGGTGGAGGTTGCAGTGAGCTGAGATTGTGTCACTGCACTCCAGCCTAGTTGACTGAACAAGACGCTGGCTCAGAAAAAAATAAATAAAGTAAAAAATAGAACACTTTATTTTTTTGAACATTGGACTGAATTACTCATCCATTCTTTTTTTAAGCAAAAGCATGGTTCCCCTACTTTGGTACTTATGAAAATCTTTCACGTGGGCTGCTAGAGAAGGATAAATCTAGGATTGTTTAGTTTACATTTTTCTGATTTCTCCATTCTGACTTAATTTTAATTTAATTTGTCATTTCTAAAGTTTTAGCTAAATAGATGGCTTTGTATTTTGGAAAAAAAAGTGAAGATGTAAATACTATCGTATTTAACTATTTTTTCTGCGTTCCAAATATGTTTTCAATTTCTGTGGAGGTTTATCAACAAAAATATTGATTCTATGGATGGTAGTATGTCCGTGATAAAACCCGTTTTTTAAATAACAAGTGCTATTTTAATTTCATCCCTAGTTAGGAAAAGTGAAAAAAACCAAGAATGTTTCTTTTCTATTTTTATTAGTTTCTACCCGATGGCTTATATTTTTGTAAAGCTATGTTTCATATTCAAAAGCAATTGACATAAAAATTAATATAGGATGTATTTTTAATGGAGAAATATTTTACTCAGTTGTTTGAAGTGTCTTAGTTTAATTGTTTAGTCCTGTCCATTGCTCACACTGAATAATTATATCTGGAAGCATCAAACTTTCCTCCAGATGAACAAATTTGACCTGTTGTAGATGTAGTTTAAGTATCCTCTGCTTCAAGTTTAGAATTTCTATAATACAGTATATCCATGGATGAAATAAATTCTATATGATATTTCAAATATAAATACACACGTTAAATAAGGCAAAATATGCAGAAAGGGTCCTATTCAATTCCAGCTATATTATATCATGTGGTGACAATAGCATGCATTTACTCTGTGACCTGGTAAAGTCATTCAGTTTTCTAGAAACTGTTTCCACACATTTAATCTTGCCATGAAAATTAAAACATTTAAGATTGTTGCAAAGATTAACACCTAAAATTATGCTGGCATACTGCTTCACATATAATGGGTACTCGAAGTATAAGTTGTATTATATAAAACATGCAAAATATATAAAAACATATGCATTGCATATGTATTACATATTATATTCCTATATGCATTATATATTAAATATAAGATATAGTAAAAATATGAGGTGCAGTTATAGATTCTAACTTTAATATTTATGAGTATGCAGATCAAATGAAAGAAGAGGCAAAGATGTTTGAGCTGCAAAAACAAGATAAGGAACACCTTAAATACATGTAGACATTTGTGCGTGTATGTATGGAGGGATAGGTAAAATTTGGGTAGTGATTGAGGACAATGGTGAATATACTATACAAGCAAAAAGGCTTATAGTTACAGGTATTGATCGACTTACGACCTATGCAACTTATGACCATTCGACTTTACAACCACAATCGCTAGCCACGACTGCTCCGCATCTGGCAGCGCAAACGTTGCCCAGCTGGGCGTACGACAGTGCGGACCAGCTTCTGGCAGCACTACCATCTCCTCATGCACCATTTCAACTGTACATATAGCCTACTCAACTTACGACCAAATCGTGTTACGACCGGTCCGCCGGCCCCAATCGTGGTCGTAAGTCGAGCACTAGCTGTATGTGGTATCAATTTAATACTTGTTCATTTTTACCTCAAACTCTTTCACAAATATCAAGTGATTTGTTATGTGTTTTATTATTTTTTGTATCATCAAAATTGCCTAAGTATTGTCTATTTACAGTACATTGAATTTTTCTATTCCAGACATAGGAATTTTTATCTAATTATAAATATACAGTACCACTTTTCATGCCTTTAAATTGATTTTTATTGAATATATGCAGAACATAACAGATATTAAATTTAGCAGAATTTCTGGAAATACCTGGTAGAATTTTATCTGACCTTCCAATATATGTTTGCTATCTTAGTCAGAATCCTGTTTACTTAGACTGTTTTATGTTAACAATGTTTCTATCTACAGAAAAAGATGTTAAGAAACTGAAAACATTTGCTTGATTCAACTGTTGACTCAATACAGATGACTGGCCTGATATTTCAATGATGTACTTTCAAAAGCACAGTATAAACAGAGGTTTCTTCTTTCCCCACAGGTATTTCTTACTGAGATGTACTATTAGTTTGTGTTCCTTTCTGCCACTCTATCTGATAATGCTAAAATTTATGTTCATGCAATTTTGTCTTACTTTGGTAGTCAAATTATGAATTTTTAGAAGTTATATTTTAAAATGAATTTACCGAAATTTTACTTAATTTCCAGGAAAGTTGCACGAATGTTGTCTAAGTTCAAAGAGAATGTTAAATGTCCTTCTGCAGATAGGACAAAAGTATTTCCAACCATTATTGGTGTTTATGAGCATAACCCTCAAGTTATGATTAGATCTACAAATATCCACAAAACGCTTTATACTAAAAGTACATTGAATTTGGATCCGTGAAATATAGAGCACTGGACTCACAACAATTTGGAATCTGTATTTCCCTTTAGGGTCAGTTGATTTGTAAAATTTTCCAGACGTCATTCTCTCAATGAGGGGATGGTAGTACTGCTCCCTCAAAGGCCTTCCAAATATTATGGCTCTGTCACTATGGGTGAAATTATTTGGATGGTAAAGACAAGCTATATATTTTTGCTTTACCCACATGGTATTCTGACACCCTGCAGCCTGAGAGAAATATCTCCCACATAGCAGACGGAGAATCATACTTCTTATCTCATGATTGTTAAAAAATGGGACTCTCCATGAAACTGTGAGTTGAAAACGGGTTTTGTAATTTATGGTGCTATGACGGAAACTGTTTGTTTTCATTTCAACTTTGCCCGAGTGGGATCCTGATCTATCATTTAAGGGCCCATTTTTGTCAATGTTTACTAGCAGGATTCTCAAATAGGACATTCTTCCTAGTCCTGACATAAGAGAAACAAATTTTCTAGGAATGGGGATCTGAAGTAGAAGAGACTCCTCATCTTTGATGTCTTCTTCTTGAGGATCTTTTTGAATCTCTGTTTCAAGCTCACTATTTTCTGCTGCTTGAGGAACAACATCTTCCTGGGCGGTTGATGTGCCCAGCTCCCTGTTTATTGGGTTGATTACTGCCTGATAGATCATATCAGGATCAGCAGATGGAGACTCCAAGTCTGTATTACAGTCATTAGAAGAGTCATTTTCAGAATTTTTCTGAGCATTTTCATCTGGATCACTTTCTTCTTTAGTAGGAGAACTCATCCTTGGTTCTATTTATGAGAAAGAAGATGAAGATTTACCAAATTTCTGTATGTTCTATTTTATGAGAATTCAGTTCTTTGGTCATAGCAAAAACCCTGTGAATGTGCTATTTCTGTGCTTTCTCAGAACTATGAATATTAGAGTCACAAAGCTACAGAATAAAGTAAGGAAAAGTGAAAACTGAGGGCAAATATAAGCCTCCTATTAAATATATTTTCTCATAACTTAGTTTTGGAATTTGATTAAACTTGGAATAACTTAGCTCTCATTTGACTATTTTAGGCATATACTCTATGCACTTGTACACATTTAGTTCTGGATAGAAGGCCCACTTATTTCCTTTCGGGTGGTGAATTATAAATAATTTTCATTATGTCTGAATTACCTACCTGAGAATTTTAAATGAGGCTGAAATAGAAGGAAGGTATGAGTGTATATGTTTCAAAGAGAATTAAGACCTATGTGAAAATGATATGGTTGAATTTGTATAAGGTACAAGCCATTCTTTTCCTGTAATTTTTTTCTTTTCTTAAAAACCCACCTTTTTAAAAGTAACGTCTGTAAGGCTGGCTGCCTCGCAGAGGGTTAAACAGACACATCCATCTCTCTCCGCGCCTGATAACTACATCATCACTGAAGCCCGTTATCTGGCCTTGCCACATAGCTTCCCCGCACCCGCCTCCGCATACCAGACCCAAGCCCACATTCAGCACTAAATTATGCATTCAACCCCCAGCCCGCTGTTGAAAAACACTGCAGAAAATTTTTTAAAGAAGCACCATCAGACCCTGCCCGGTAGCAGTCTGCCCTGTACGCCCCCAGCAGGCCCATTTACCCAAGGTCCCGCCCGCCTACCCATGACGACTAGCTCCAGGTATTTCCTGCTTCATTAATAGCCAATAAGATTGCCTTCACTTTGTTTCCCCAATAGCCAGTCAAGGCCCACTTACCCAAGGTCCCGCCCGCCTACCAATGGCAGCTAGTTCCAGGTATTTCCTGCTTCTTAACAGCCAATAAGATTGCCTTTGCTTTGTTTCCCCAATAGCCAATCAATTGCCTTCCCTCCCCATAAAACCCCATACCCTGAACATCCAGGGGTGACTTCTTTGGCCCCTCCCTGGACCACAGAACCTTGCCTGGGAGCTGAATAAATTAGCTTCTCATTTTCTTATACTTGCCTCAGTTTCCTCATTTTACCTCGGCAATAAACCTTACAACGTCTAGCTAGGCCAAACGCATTGGCTCATGCTTGTAATCCCAGCACTTTGGGAGGCTGAGGTGGGCAGATCACTTGATGTCAAAAATTTAAGACCAGCCTGACCAACCTGGTGAAACCCTGTCTCTACAAAACTACAAAAATTGGCTGGGATGCCTGTAGTCCCAGCTATTCAGGAGGCTGAGGCAGGAGAATCGCTTGAACCCAGGAGGCAGAGGTTGCAGTGAGCCAAGATCGCGCCATTGCATTCCTGTCTGGGTGACAAAGCAAGACTCTGTCTCTAGATAGATAGATAGATAGAAAAATAAATAAAGTAATGTCTATATGAAGAAGTGCAATTTTGAATCACATGAGAAGGGAAAGCAGGCTAGATAAGAAGGTAGGAAGCTAATGAGTGAAGTTCAAACTCTGAGTTCATTTATTAAAATGTCTTCCAAATTCACTACTTTCCGTTTATTCTTAATGTCTCAGTACTAGTCAAGCTAAAAATTACTTCATGTGTGTTTTACTGATGATAGTGGCTGATTTCACTAATTGCAAACTCTATACATTTGCCACTCTCGTCACCCCTGTCCTCTTCCCTTTTTACTTTCCTTATGTCTTTTACCTGCTCAGACACTTTCAGTGTACCCTAAACTCTGAACTCCGTGCTTCCGATTCTACTCTAGAGGGGACTCTGAACAATCAACATGGCAGATTTCTTCAGAGCAGAATTATGGGCAGGGAACTTTCTTACTGAAGTCAGTGGTGGAGAAAGGTGAACGTAAGTGAGCTGAAAAGAAATCTGGTAAAATTTGAGAAATTAACTAACATGGTTTTTATTTCTCATGGCTAGCTTTTATGAGCTAGCCTATGCAGAATTTATGAATATGTTAGCAGGATTTAAAGATGTAGAATGATGTAGAACCTTATTTCATAACTATAGTCTTCAGAGACCCTACGCAATCTGGCTCCATCTCCCCTAACCAACTTTTTCATCTATTCACTCAACATGCATTCTCTGTTCCAATACTGCTGAGCTTTTACTATTTCATGCTCATCAAATCTTTCAATTCAATCTTCAATTATTTTTTCAGAGTTTGATATGAATTCACGTGTGACTATTTTTCTATCAAATAGACTTTATATTTTTTATTGAAGGTAGTGACCACAGTTAAAGTTTATCTTGTATCTTTCATTGTCTTGCGCTGTTTCTAAGGTCATGGAATTGTATACTTCTCATTTCCCCAAACTTTTAGGCATTTCTTTCTTTTGCGTCTATTATTGTGTGATATGTTCTGATCCTGCTTAATTCATGCTTACTTTGTAAAACTCTAACATTTAAATATAGATATTTCTCAAGTCTCATTTCTCCATTCTCTAGTCTACTTTTGCTTACTTTCTTCTTCAGAGTCCTTGCACATTCCTATCATTTCACAGGCATAATTCTGAGTCCTTGCTAAGCTTTACTGAGTTTTATGTTTTTAATATGGGCAATTAGAAAAGTTCTCTACATAAACATCTCAGCATCAGCAGTTATCATCAAGGCAAAACAACAAACAGAGTCTACATTATAGAGGCTTTCTAAATAAAGTAAATTGAACTCACAAAATTCGAGGATAATATAACTGGCTGCTTCTCAATAAGGCTGGAATCCAGTCATTCGGTGAGAGCTGAAGTTGGTGGTGGTAATCTGTAGCTTTTCAGATGAACCCTGAAAACAAATCAAGATATTTTCATAAAACAAAGGAAAAAATAGTTAGCACCTACACCTTCTTCCCCCAAGAAAAGCATCTATACTGCTCTGTTGTTTGGTAGGGTCCTTTACTTCCATATTTCAGGATAACTATGAGATTCATTGTTCCCTTCTACATTCTGAAATAGGATTGTATATAAGAAATAGCCGGTGTTCATTGTGAATATACTGACATATTTATCATATATATTTGTGCCATTAGACTATGTTAAGACTGCTTTTTCAATAAACATAATATATGTGATATCTAAAGGCTTATTGCCTGCCAAAATGTAGTTATATCACAAAGCTATGTACTTAAGGTTATTATTGCTCATTAAAAAATAAACACTCACAGGAATTGCACAAGAAGTCTGTATGTATTCTGTTAAACCTCTCAATCTTTATTATTTAATGTTTGGACTTATATTTAGAAATAGCCAAGAGTCATATTCTTATTTAATCACTTTTTAAAAAATACCTCAGCCAAATGACTGTGTTTACCACTGACTTTGTCATTTTCTTCTGTTTTCTGGTATTTTAAAAGTATTTGGTGTTCTATACTTCATTTACATAGGACATTATAAATATATGAATTAAGTGTAAACACTAAATATATATATACATTAAATATACATTTTAATATATATTAAAAATAAACCAAAACTCATCAGCGTATATGTATACATACACAAACACACACACACCATTTCATTGTTTATTATACAGAAAACCAAAATCATTTTTTCTCACAAAGATAAATGTAGTTGTATGTGCCTGATAGCTTTTAAAATTATAATGTTAAAAATCCTTAAAATAAATGACTTTCGAGTTGATAATCAGGGACCCGAGGAACAACAATATTGTACTTTATTCTAAATACCCAGGTTGTGTTTTCAAATATTCTCTTCTGATTAAGATTTTTACGTAATGGCCTTTTGAGATTCAAAAGATATATATGGAGTTTTAAAAGAACCTGGTTATTTTGAATCTTTCTAAATTAGTTTTGATTATCCTTTATATTGAAGGAATTTTATTTAAATTTTATTTTCTTTTATATTGAAGAATTTTATTCTATTTATACTGTATCCTCCAATGTCCACATACTCTGCAGAAAGATGTATGGTACTTCCACCAAAACTTTAAATGTTTTACACTAAATAATATTAATGACTCATCAGCTCAAACAGACTTCTTTATGTCAATGTCCCATCTTTCCCTGCTGACAAATGCTCCAATACACAACTTCACTTCACCTCAGATGAAAGAGCTTCAACTAACATATGCCTTCTGATTCCCACACACTCATCACTGGCAGGAAACCCCTCATGATATCCTAATTTCTTTAATTGAAGGAACTTAATCTTTTGTTTCTTTCAAATTTGCTAACTTTACTTTAAAATGATTTTATCACTCAAAAAGTTGTGACGAATGAAACAAGGAACTTTTCTGCCTATGTTCAGAGAAACATATGTGAACATATTAAATCCCTGGCCCAGAAGGACAACTCTCTGAGTAGTGTCTACATAGATAAATGATAAATCAAGAAACCAAAGTTACACTTAAGTAATTTCTTAAATATATTCTAAAATAGTTACACAAACTAAAAAGTACTTATTAAAGATCCCTTATGCTTTCCCTTTCACTTTCAACTCACACTTCATCTTCATCCTCCTTTGTGAAAATCCTTGGGAAAGGCGAGTTTCACAGCTACCTGCCTCTGGACTCCTTTTCTTCTGCCCTCTACCTCTCAATTTATACCTCTTTCAGAGTTCTTTTGACTCTGCTTCACAATGTCCACAGAACATGGTAACCTAGCAACCTAGAACCCTCTTCAGACTGTAGGGGGAGGGAATAACTGAAATGGCAAATTTGAAATCTTCTTTAGATGGCAAGCAAACAGTTAAGGCTGGGAACACCCATGAGTTTATAACTCTTGCTTTATCACACACACAACATCCAAACTATATGCAATATTCTCAGCATTGAAGCCGTGTGAAGACAGGATTTCCAGATGTAATACAAGATACCAGTAAAATTTGAATTTCTTATAACTGATAGTTTTTAGTA